CGGCAATCCTGAGAAAAAAAGATTGCGGTTGCGTGTTTACGTACAAATTCGTAGTAAAGAATCAGCTCATTTAAGTTTTTGTCTCATTTTTTTGTGCACATATTCGAAAAAAGAATTTCGATTGCTATCGATTCACTGTGTTTACATTGACTTATTTGGTGGGCTTTTATATGATGCCAAAATGGTAAAAATCCATTAAATATCGACAACGACAACGTCGACGACGATGCTGATTCATCTCTCTGGTCCACAGAATCTGTTCCATTTTAACCGTGCACGCAATCACTCCAACACAATTTATTCTTTTTAATTCGTTTCGATAGACTCATGTCTGTGCGAACAACAAAACAAACAGAAGAAGAAGAAGAAAAAAGAAAACAAAATTGATATGCTTTGTTTGACCACAACAACAATCACAGCCAGCTTGTGTCACCGATACATAACAACAAATGAAATCTGTTTCGATGACAATTGTTTTGTTTTCTCGATGAACTACTACTATTCACTCAATATCACAATAGATAGATTGGATTATTCATTGGGAGAAATTTTCATTTTACTGCTGAAACGTTTTGTTTGAGTGAATTGTTACAATGAGGCTGAATTGTGTTTTTGCAAACGGTACCGATATTAATGCAACAGCAGCAGCAGCAGCGGCAGCAGTAAAACGGAACAAAAGTGGTGAAAACCGGCCGAAATCGTGTGTGTATTTTCACATCCGCATTAAAATTTATAGCATTTTTTTCTGTGTAATATAAAAGCGTCGTTTAGATACCAAGCCAAAGTATTCGAATGAACAACAATGTGTGATAAAATGTGCGCGCAACTGTCGAATGAAAAAAATATTACGACTGTATACAAAGGGCATTAGAAAAATGGTGAGAAATGAAAATAGAAAGAAAAAAATATCACAGATGACGTTTCTACACACAAAATTTGCACGAAAAAAAAATCGCTATTATTTTTTGTGGCTGCCGTTGACGAAATAACGAAATTGCTTATAAAATATACATTTTATTTACTTTTGCATCGAAATTCATTTCGTTTGAACAACGTTTGCGTGTTCTGTTAGCTCACGCTTATTCAATTTCGTTGCAAACGTCAGACGAGGCAATGCGATTGTGTGCTTGTGTGAAAATAAATTGAAGTGTAATTGTTTGAATGATCAAATTTAAATATTTTCACTCCGACTCCAATCATGTGACAACACAAAAGGAAGGAAACATGTTATTTTCAAACAAACAAAAAAAATGTTCAATTATATGTTTTCTATCTGTTGATCGTGGCACAGTCAACGCTAAATTGGAATGTTGATTTACAATGAAATGTGTGGTTTTATCTCCGTTTTTTTCTTGTTGTTGGATTATGAAGTCATTTGGCAACATTTTGAACTAACAATTGATACACATATATATATATATATATATTTCGCTTTCTATTACTTTATTGCATTCCATATTTCGAATAATTCTATAATGTGGTGGTGTTTTTTATGCTAAAAAAATTGTTTTTGTGAAAAGGTCATAAAAAAAACTTTCACATTGCGCTGAAATCGTTTTAGTATCGTATAATGGTGCGACATTAAACAGCATTTCCCATTATTATTAATGGACAAATATCCAAAAAAACAAAAACAAAAATTGCTCACATGCCATTGCAAATTATGGAGTTTATCTATGGTCGTTCGACTAGAGTCTATGTGTTATAAACATACAATCGGTCATTTTATCGGATATGGACAATTGCAGTCGACATATAAGTCGTTTGGTTGCAATGCAATTCAAACAATCAAACCAAAATGCCGTTTCGCTTCAACCATACCGATTCAATAGAATCTCTAGTTGCGATGTATACCTACAATAAAGCAGAGATAGTAAATCAATCCTTTTTTGTATTATAAAATGGCACTCTCGTTTTTATTGTATTCCAATTGATATAGAGACATGAGAGGTAGCGCATTTTTGTATATTTTTGAAGTCTTCGTTTTTCTTTATGCACACATCGCATTGTTGCCATCCATAAAATGCAAACATTTCAAATAAAAATGTTCAATGATTGAAAAACGCAGTTCTGCTTAAAAACTATTGACTTATGGCAGCCGCGATCACCATTTAGCCAGTTATGGGACTTTGGTTGTGCGTACGCATACAATTTGACGCATTGTGTTCCATAAACGATCCGCACATATGGTGAGTAATGGTTCGAAGTCAATTCGGATACTTGCGAAGAAACACACGAAAATGGAGAGAAAGAGAGAGGGACGGAGAGAAAGACGAAATGTGTATGATCTATTTGGTAAATGTTTCGTACGGGTGTGTGTAATTTTAGAATTGATCAAATGTTTACTTATGTCGAAATGTTTTCAGCTTTCACTGCCAACTGCTAAACGCAATGTTCGAACATATATATGCAGTCTGTCGTCAATAGACATTTGTATGAAATGTGTTGTTGCACAGAAGCTATAATAATTTTTATTTTAAAAATTCAATCGAAGTGAAAAACATATTGAATCGGGTGTTGTATGCGCGCGATCCGCGTAAGAGAAAGAACCATTCCGCGTGATAGGCACGTGCATTTATTCCCCGATATACAAAACCAAAATCACCCTCGTACATTCCAGCTGCAGCTGCAATCTACACCAATTATCTCTGATATTTTTTTTTGTTCAACCTTTTTTTGTATGTGTGTGTGGAATTGGTATAGTAAATTCAAGTCATGTATGACTAACAATGCTTCAAATTTTGTAACAAATGAACTGTGCAGCAATCGTGTTAAATGAGTTTAAATAGAAAATTTTGGAATATTAAAGAGGTTTTCAAAATGCATTCAATGGACTGAATAGTAATTTTTTAAAAACACTTCTCTGAGCCTGACTGGTCGCAATATAAAACTCATTTATTTTCCACTCAATTTAAAGTGAAAGAGCATTTGGCGTTAATTAAAGGCGAGGGGTTGAACATTGATTATTACAAATTTATCGCGCAGTTTTGATCGATTTCACGTCCATCAACTGACAGTTAAAACTTAATTTAAACCATTTACTTAGAAGTGAACAGAAAAAAAAACAGAGTTCAACAAAAAAAAGTGTTCGTTCAAATGAAAGAGCAAATGTTTGAAAATCTAATTCAGACAAAACTAATACACAAAATAATAAATCAAATAGAATAATAATGAACTTCAAATTCGAATTCAAAATCATAACTCGAAGAGATATCGAAAAAAATGTCTTTTTCACGTCATCAAAATACCATAAAAATTGATCTGCATTACAAAGGCCATCCAAAAGACGTGCCCGATCTATCGATCATTCTTGGTTATTTTGGTGTTGATCGTAACGTGTTTGCTATCGCCAAACCCAATGAATAAACAAAAACAAAATTAATGTGTTTTGCCGTGCGGTTTGTCATTGTGCGGGCTTTTTGTTTGTGTCCGGATAATGCAATGATTTTGGTCATTGTTTATTGTATTTTTGTGAACATTGAAAATTGAATATATCAACATCATTTTTTGATTTTTCAAATGGAATTCTCTATTAAATTATAGAAATATTCCAGTTCTATTGTTGTGTCACGAATGTTAATGGGCCCTCTTTCTTCACATTTGTGGCTGAGGTCATTAATGCAGTTCCAACTCAATTTAGAGAAACGCACTCATCGACGACGACAACAACAACAATCATAATGAGGCGGAACAACTGGTATAATGTTCAGATAACGACGATGATTTGATGACGTTGATTTTTGTTGTTTACAAGTCATTGCGACTCATGGTGTGTGCACCTTCGTTGGTGACGATTCACTTCGCTTGAATATTCATTTCCTTTCTTACTAATGAAATTTCTGCTATGATTATTACGTCGCTCCGTGTGCAGCGAGCGTTTCGACATTCAAATGAAATAATCAAAGCAGTGAGCACTCATGCTTCAGTAATATTCGCCTTTATTGTTTGGATTCACAAAGCGCTAATGGAAATATGAAATGAATGACATATATTGAAATCACATGTTTTATGGTGATTCAAACAAAATGAATGAAATAAAGAAAAAACTTGTCCAAAGTGCATGGAAGAAAAATGTAAAACATTTGAAATTTGTTCGAAAGACTGATAAACATTGAATTTTGTACATGTGTGGCGTTCGATGATGCATATATCAACACAAGACGGCATCAACATGCATTCTCGCACATTTTCTCCGATCCCAAAAAAAGCAGGTAGTAAAACTGCATGCCGAAAACTCAAACAACAACAAAAAAAGAAGAGTGAACGGAGACTTGACATAAGGCTCTCTAACGTTGTTTGTGGCATTCAAAAACATTCCAAATTAATCGTTTGTTATTCCATTCAATTTTCTATTTAATCTGATGCAGTTTATCTTCGGAAGAATGTGCATTATTTTCGTTGTTTGGGTTAGTTCTTTTTTTCTTCATTTAGTGTTTGTTTTTGTGTGCGGTCATAAACGGCTTGATTGTGAATGGGAAAAACCGCAAAAAGAACAAAATGCAAACGGCTGTTCCTCAATTTAAAAGAGGGCCCAATCATTTTCTTTTCACTCGCTTTCGAAAAAAAACTCCATTTGAAGTGGTTTAGTGATCAAGCCGGAGAATTAGTAGTTTAAGTACAGCGTTTTTTTGTATAGATGAGTTGAAATTTAGATGGATCAACAGCTGATACAGTATCTCATTTGTCACAGGAAGAACCATATTCAAAATGAAATAAATACGGGCAATTTAAACCACGGGAATTCAAACTGCAAACCAAAAAGAATTGACAGCAAAAAAAAAAGATGCATCATTTTGACATCAAAAGAAATGTTTTCAGTTATTTTAAATAAATTGGACACATTTTTCACAAAGCGAACATCTTGTCTCTCATGAGAATCTCGTGATGGGATAATTGTACACATTTTTTTTCTCTCTTGTCGTATTTATCTTTTGGTTTTGAGTGTTTGGATTTCAAATTATTTCGTCGTTTGTTTGAAAATCAAATTATGAAAAACTTACTTTGACTTTTTCCAAATATGATTGTAGTTCAGCGTATGGATCCTCTTCAAGATCGTCACCGAATAAGTCATCACCGTGGTTTTTGTTGGTGTGACGGCTGTCGCCACCGTTATTGACACCGACGATTTCGTTAATGTTCGTTGCATTTATTTCTCGTAAACTATCACAATTATTTCGATGTTTGTCAAATGTAACGCTTCTATCACCGTCGTCATCGTCATCGGCATCGTTTGTTTGTTTATCGTTGCATTTGTTTGAATTTGGCAGCCGTCGCTCGTCATTTTTTAACAACATAACTGTTTCCTCTTCCGGTCGTTGTACACAATAACCAGCACCGCTGTCAACCATATCACCTCCCAATGCACCGTCCTTTTTATCGCTTTTCAACGCTGAAATAGAAATTTTATTCGAACATTTTAGTTTTTTTGTATTACATGAAAAGGGATTTGGTTATGAATGTTTACATTGCAACCTCTTTAAACACAGAGATTGAACATTTTCGAACAAGCATTTTTAAGAATTATTCTTTTCAATTAACTATAAAAAGTCTTGTATTGTAAAAGTCTAAAGGATTATGAACTACTTTTCAAACTAGGCACAACGTGATTGGCAGAAATTTCTTTCCGAATTTAAAATACTGATAATGATTTAAAATAATGACTACCATAATGAGCGATGTAAAACTGTATCCAGAAAAGTATGCGAGTTTGAGACTAACTAATAAATTATCACGTGTTGAAATATTATTTTAATATCCATCTGTATTCCTTAGTATCTTTACGAATAAAGAAATGTCATGTAAGTGCATATGTTTGTCGTTTTGAAATGTTAAAGGAAAGAATCATATCCTCGTATGTTCGAACATAATAATTGTGACGAATGTGGGAGAAATTTGAGAACATTGTCAAATGTATTTAATAGATAAGAAACTTCAAAGTAAAAAAAAACTTGAAAAAATGTGTTTTTAGTGTTACGGTGGTATTTGTATTAATGTCTTTGGCGCCTTTGAACATTTTATTTCGTCATTCAAATTGAAATAGGTAAAGAGAAAAATGTTTTTTGGAAGGAAATAAAATTAGTGCCGCTCTCAAGGATGTCTATTCATCGGAAATTTATTACACAAATTGAGATGTCATACCTTTTTTTGTGTTGAAAACTTTTTTTTTAATATGTTCATTCAAACTGAATAGTAAACTAAAAAGCCGAAAATATTTGAAAATAGAAGAAGAAAACAGTCATTTCTGTTGGTTAAGAAAAATGAGCGAATATCGTAGAAACCGAAGACATTCGATGACCTATTCCAACCATGCTTTCGTTCATTATTCTTTCCACTCAGCATGACTTTGTATTCGAAATTTTCGAATAAAAAAAACAAAACATGCTCATTGTCTTTCAATGGTGCCTTTCTAAAAAAAACGACATAAATGAAATAAAACATGCGAAGAACACGCATTTCATCGATATACAAAAAAAATGTGTAAATCGAATTGTGAAATGCGTGAAGAAAGTCACGCATTTGTGTGATTGTCATTTATTTCGCGTGGTTTCCGCCTATTGAAATTTTTTAAGTAAATTCAAACAAATAATCCAATTAGCCGCAATTATTCCAACTATTTTCACCGTCACCATTCACAAAGAGCATCAGCCGGGTTGACCCCTGGTTTTGAATTAACACTTCTTTCGTTGTTTTATCGTGAAATTCATTAACAATCAATTTGATGACGCAGATTACGATGTGAAAGAGGCGCGCAAAAAACGATCCAAAAGCCAAATGGCGGCATGGAAGAATGTTCTTTTCATCACGTTTCTTTTGTCTCTTCATAAAGAGATTTTTCGATGAAATTTATGTTTTAATTAATTCTTGCGTGTTCTGGAGTCAAAGTCATTGATCGTTTTGCAAAACAAAACCGAGAAATGGAGAGAGATACGTAGAGGATACGCACACACTCAAAATATGCGCAGCAAAGGACACGATTGTATTGTGTACTTTGTGAATGGTGTCATGAAATTGAATACCAAACATTGTTTCCATTGTTGATGGAGAATATTCAACTTTGGCATGATTTCCGTTTGTTGCCAAAGAAGCAGGTGAACAGAGATTGAGCAAGAATGGGCATAAAACCAGCGAAACAAACGAAGAGACCAACTGAAGAAAAATGCCGTAATATAAAAGATGTGATGGGCAAATGCGCAACATGTATACAATGATGAACACCATCATCACAACATTAACATGGCAACACCGAAGAAGAACAACACGACCGAAGTGTATCAGCATAATTGCACACAATTCTTCTCTCATATTTTTGTGTGGCACGATTCAAAACAGTAAAGATAATGTTTCTCTTTTTCTCTCGTTTTGCTTCTTTTCCATCTCTTGCCGAACGAAGAACGTAGATGGAAAAGGTCGAACTGAATGGGTTTTTTTTTCTCTCGCTAAATGGGCAGTTTTACGGTGCAATACAAGAGAAGAAAAAAAAATGTTGCAGGCGGAGAAAGATGCTGTTAAAAGAATAATATGAAAAATCACTAAATGAAAATGTAAATGCGCGCACATCGCCGCAAGGCTCATTTTCGGCATTGACGAAGGTTGTGTGCACTCAACTTCAACTCAACGTATGCGTAATCTGATGCATATTATTTTACTTCATTGTAACTCATCTTTTGTTTTTGAGGGTCTGTTGCAGTTTTTCTCATGTTCACTAAGTAAGCAGAAAGAGCAACAAAAACATCTTTTCGCATAACCATTTAAGGAACCATGAAACAGTCGAATTTTTGGGCTATCAATTTTAAGACCGCAAATTGAATCGCATTAAATGTCGGTGTTTCAGAAATGAAATGGCATTATTTGTACTATGGGCACCTCCTTCACACGTGCAACAAGGTAGCTGAATTGTGCTTTGAAAAAAATGACTCTCTGTGAAAAGCCTGCTCAACAAAACCGATTCAAAGCGTTTCTATTTTTATAAAATTTTTCACACGTGGCTCAAGGCACTTGCTCAACGTTGCAAATCTTGTGATGACATGAAGATGCAATATGACAATGAGAGCAATTCATCACAGTGAAAAATTAATTCTTTATGGTTAATTTTGGTTTTTGTTTATTCTTATAAATTCTCTCATTTTGAGCGGTCAGCCGTTTCTCTGTGATTTCCTCTTTTCTTTGTTTTCAAAGTTGTTTAGTGAAAACAATTTATCTGATTAAGTGGCGCCAACACCATAATTACATCGTTCATTTTTTTACGTCTATCATGAATACGCAAAATATTCATTCCGGCCTTATACATTCATTTCTATTGCATGAATTGCGTATTCGTACACTGTTTCACTGACTGAAGTAGGCTATCTCATGGTTACGAACAATTGACCATGTGATTTAAAATAAAAGCATTTTTATGCAAATATTTGAGTCATTTTAATTCAATTTAGTTGACTAAATGTTGATTTTTTTATTGAGATAACTAAATAATGAATTGAGCAACAGCGGAATATGACGAGAAAAGAGAGCAATGTGTCCAATTACTGCGCAGATTTTTTTCTCGTTTCATGTGTTTTGACGAGCAATTTCCATATTTTTTTGGACTCACATAAACTCATTCGACATTTGTGTTGTTATATAAAAGATAATTTGCCATTTAACTTGCATTTGATGTTTGTAAAGTGATGATCACACAATTTCGTCATTGTCAAAGGTGAAAAAAGTGAAGAATTTCAATGCACTGACGCGACATCGATTTCAAAACGTTTTCTGAATTGATTGATTGAAGACCATGTGTGTGTGTGCATGCGCGCGCCTCAAATGCGAGCATTAGATAAACATCCATTTGGCGACAAATCAATAAAATCACATTCCTATTTCGTCTCTAAACTTTGTGCTGCACACATTTTGTGAAAATGGTGACGGCTGGCTGACTGATGATGATTTAAATGAAACAATCAATTTATTAAATTGCCATTTTGAAGTGGAAATAACTACGAAAAGTGCGCGCGTCCACTGATTGAATTGATGATCGTTGTTATGTTTTTTTTTTTAAATGGCACACACAGAATGAGAGAGAGAGAGCGAGAGAGCAAGAGAGCAAAGAATGTTTGGCATTCGTGAGAAATAACAAACTCACTCAATAATAATAAAATGGGATGCAATTCAAATCGAATAGGTTGCTGATTATTTATGAACTAAAAACTATTAAAAGTCAATAAATAATGTCAAATGGTAATTTATGTGAATGAAAATGGAAAATATACTCTTTATATATGGGTTTTGTGCTTGAACGAAAGAAGAAAAAAACACCATCACTGTACGGCTTCATCAAATGAAGATTTTATTTTGCACCCATTGATCGTGTTTGCAATGAAGCGACTATTTTCGTCGGCCTTTCTTAGTGAATCCGACGATTATTGCACGCAATTTTCCAGTTTAAAATGAAAATAAAATTGAACCGATTCATCTGGCCAAATGCAATAATTTACGAGGTAAATTAAGCACAAGAGCGAAACTAGAGGAAACGAATTGCTCGCGCGCGCACACATACACATGGCCAAGAACTGTGCGAGCCAAGGAACAACAGTTATTTGAGACTTTCTATAAACCATACACTCGTCTGGTGGTTTTTTTGTGTTGTGTGCCGCTCGCAAATAGCCCAAATTATGTGCACATAGGCGCATAGAGAGCCGAGAAATTCAATATGATTTGTGGTCGCGTTGTTTGTGGCAGCAGCAGCACCAACATCAGCGGTGGTGGCGGTGGCGGCAGCGAATACACAACAAGAAGAAGAAATATGGAAAAACACGGATAATCGGTATGTTACTTGTAGATTATGATAACGATTTTGCGCCGCTTGTGAACATGTTTTCGAGTTGCCCCGTCACTCTGTTGCATCTAAATTCAACCGAAAGCACCACTTTAGCTATCAAACTGAAGACATTTATTATGGTCATTAAGTCATAATCGAAAAAGAGCTGAGTAAATTAAAAACAGCACGAATTACCTGAGCGATTGAAAATAGAATAAACTCTCGCCATTTATTAAAGCAAACACAACAGCCAACACGAACAAACAAACCAAAAAAATAGTTTTAGTACAACAACATATATATTTCTCATGTAAAGTATGCGGTTTTATTTGATTATATTGAGGAAACAACGAGGCATTTAATAATAATTGGAAGGACCACCTCTAACCATACAAGAAATTGATCTTGTTTTACATCAACAATAAACAAATCTCTCGAAAGAACGGTTATGTCCGCATGCATCTTCTTGTAAATCACCACATAGCCACCAGAATACGCTTCGCGGAATTTATGCATCAGTTTCCCTGCGAACCGAATAGGTTTGGCATTTCAAATTTGCCATTTACATTTATGCCAATGATTCCGTTAAACATTTGTTATTTTCACATTTTACATGAAACTAGAACTTTTTCATATGAACACTTATTGCCGAGCGTTGAAGAGGGTTCAATGTAGAGCGCATTGCATCCATACTGAAATGCCATACGGCATTACGATTCGCAAAAATGTGTCATATTGGTTTTAACTAAAACGATAGCACATATGCTTGGCGCACATCTTCGCAGAAATATCTCGTTCTGTCTCGACTGGCACTCTGAATGGGTCTCGCTGTGTATGTGTGTGAATTTACATTATTCGAGGTTCAACGGCAGAAAATGTTATGAGCGCTCATGTTTTAAAATGCTTAAAACTTAAGTTCAGAATAATAAGTACATGTTATGGAAATCATCAACCATAACATCGAAACAAATGTGGCCCTTAACATTATTCCGAACAAATCCAAAGTGTATTTGGTTCTGGAAATTGGCATTTTTTATGATTTGTAATATACAACAGATTTACTCTCTAATCCATTTTATGTTCGAGCTCTAGTTTGTTGGACCATTTACAGCCAAGATAGCTGAGTTAATCTTTTTGAACGGCTTTGCGAGGCTATTTAGGTTCTGGTTTCCTTTTTTCGATGAATTTGCATAAACATGCGTTCGTTTGATTTTACAAATAATTTGACGATTTGCATTGCATTCGATGTGCTAGACCCTGTCTAGTTTTGAAACTGACTACATCTCACTATCGACCACATATTATTCATACGTGTTTAACAAAAGTTTACTCATAAAAATTGATACTTATGAAAAATGTAAACTTTTTTCCAGTGATAAAATGAACAATTTGCAAAATGCTGTCTTATAAAATCATTGAAATGTACATGATATTTAAATAAATGTCTCTCATCAAATTTGAAATGAGGGAAACATGCGATTGCGTTGATTTTATTACCATATGAGCACAATTTAAATGATCGAATTTCAAGCAGCGCAAATCAAAACACTGGTGGCAAACAGGCCCCAGCGCAATAATGTATATGAATAAAAAAATAATGTAATAGTCATACCGTTGTCACAATGATTTGATGTCCCGCTGTTACGGTCGCATTTCGATGCAGTGGCGGTTGACGCCGCGATATCATCGTTCAATTTTTTGTTGTTATCACTTGAAATGGTTGAGCCGCCACATAAAACAGAAGCTGTTTTCCGATCGTTTTTGCAATCGGCGACATTATCTAAACGCTTCGAAACGCCACATTGACCTTTTCCATTGCCGTTAACTTGTTCGTCATCTCCGTCGTTCGATGAATTGGATAATTTGTGCAATTCGTTTCCTCTGGCAATTGGCCCGTGGACGTGATTTATCACAGCATTATGTGATGTGCCGCTGCTGCTGTTGTTGTTTGCTTGTGTGCTGTTATCATTATCCGCTGGATCGGTGTTTGGTTTGGTTGCACCATTGTTTCGATTGTATTTCTTTGGTGGTACCGGCGGTGGCATTGACTTTTTCATCACATTATTATTGTTTCCATCACTTTTTATTGTACTTGTCAATGAGTATTGGTTTGTTGCTGATGGCGATTGATTGTCGGCCGAATGACCATTGGTCAACTTTTCAGACGCATCAGAATTTGAATTCTGATTTATCGTCGTTATCTCACGCATTTGGGACATTTCCGCTCCATTGATTATTCATCGGTTTGCCATCAAGAACCAACTGAACAAGTTTCGTTGTGTGACTGTGAGAGACGCGAATGAGTAAGCCAGTGATAAAATCTACAGGGAAAGAAAGAAAAAAAATGAAAAAATAAACATGAAAAATACATTAGTAAAATTATGAATAATAATATTTGGAAAGCGACTACACAATCAATTAAAGGCATTTTTCGGACATATAAAACGCTATTTTGGTGTTGTGATGATGCACACCGGTGATAGGGCGCGTTTGATCTGTGCCGACACGTGATGAGTGTAAGCTCAAGAGAAACATGCATGCACATCAACCAGAAATGAAAATGGGGGTCGCTTTCTCACAAAACCCAAATCGAACCGTGTACATCTCGAGTGCGCGACCGTGTGCATCGCCGTAGATGATTTATGTTTTAATCGAGTTTCATTTGACAGGTATCGATTTCAACTCGAATGGAAAATATTAATCAAAAGAACGTTCCGAAAAATGATACGGGACTCAAGCAAGACGGAACAATGTTGAAATATAAACCGTGTAACTGAATCATATATCATGTTTTTGTGGCCGTTTTTTTATGGGATCTTTTTTTTTCTCTCTTAAGACATCGACAACAAACTTCATTTAATAAAACGACATAATTACAAAACTTTTTGAATGATTTTGTTAAGATTCTTTTAAATTAAATATTATGACGTTCTATAAATAATGGAAGAAATCATTTTTTACGCTGAGAAATTCATTCATATTGAAATTAAATGAGAAATGGTGAGAGGCGCAGAGAGAAGGGAGAGATAGAGAGATATGTATTGACGAGCCTTCAACCGATGACAAACAATGTTGAAAGTAAGTCGCAAATCCAGTATTTTCAGATTTAAAAAAGTCTTTAAGCTGCTATGCAAATACGACAGTTGACGTGAGCCATTTGCAAAATATTTAAGATGGGATAAACTTTATTGATTAATGATTCGATCAAGACCGTTCACTTTTTTTTGCTTAAATAAACATGCAAAAACAATATGCGCACACATGTAATGTACATTAATTATTTTACTATGAAATCAACAATTTCCAATTGATTTGGAATGCTTATAGTATAAAAATAGCGTAATTAGAATGTATACGAGATGACGATGAATGTTTTAAATTGTTTGACTCGTTTGATGTGTTGAGTGTCATTGTGATTTGTTGTTCAATGTGAGGCGATGTGAGGTATATAGAAGTTTGTGTGGTTTACCCGATTTGTTGCTTTAATTCATCATCTATACATATAAAATCGTCTATTATAAATCAATGTCTTTTACATTCTCTCTGAACAAATTGAAAATTGCGACGTAATCTACTTTTTTTCATACTCATTCGTACAAGAGACAAACCAAAATCATTCTTCTCAAAAAAAATATTACATATTGAAACTACAATCATTGTATAGACATGCCTAACCATTACTGCGCATTTTATACAAGCCAAATGGCATAATTTTTGAAGCGAAAAATGCACAAGATCACAATCTTAGAACATTTTAAAGTAACGAATAGAAAAATATTGAATGAGAAAGTGTAAACATTTCCTCGTTTCCAATCGCTGAGCGCACACACGTACACCCAAAGGAAATGCAGAACGTCGAAAATGCAATATGCAACTGGTATGATACAATGCGTGAGAATTGTTATAAGTCTATTTAACATGAATAGATGGGTTTGTTGAAGTTTAAAAAGTGCTTCAAAGATTGAAATTTGTATTTAGATGTAAAAAAGGTGGTGTGGAGAAAGAGCGACAGGCATTCGTGTTGGAATGAATAATTGCATGCATTCATTAAAACATACGGTATACACATAACAAATGTATCGATTTGTTAAAGAGACGATTGTATCGCTGTGAAATATAGACTCAAGCTAAACGTGGCATGTTTCACAGGCACTGAAGTATTTTTGTCACATTTGACAAAGTCGTGACTTATTAAAAGAAATCATTTCGTTTCATTTTGAAGCTGCGAAAAAAAGAGCACTAACTACAAATCCGAAGAAATGCATTTAAAATATTCGCACTCAATTCGAATAAAGTTTCACGTTCACGAACGAACGAAAAAAAATTCGTTTATATGAAAATGTCAATATTTGAATTGATTGACAGCTAATTCATTGTAACTGTCATTTCTCGGCTTGTTCGTTAGCAGGTTATTGAAAGCTTGTGTATTTGTGAGTTTGTTTATTTGCGCGAGATTTAAAACACAATAGATCTCATGACGTGGGCCGAACAATTCGACAAAGAAAGAAAAAACACCACCACCAACAACAACAACAC